TTTTTTTTTTTTTTTTAATCAGGCTTTCCATCAAAGCACTAGATATGGTGCTCTGCAAGTGCCTTGCAGAAGAGAAATGGATGGGGATTCTGAGGAAGCAGAGAACCTGAGCTTTTCTTGAAAATTCCCAGACTTCCCATGACAGCATGTGCCTGCTGACTAGGTAAGAGCCTTCGGAAGGGCTTCTTTCCCTCTTGGGGGTGCCTGTCAGCCAGCAAGGGGCTGAATGGGAACTCGTCTGGCACGTCTGTCCGGGGAGGCTGTCCTGAGTTGCTGAGGAAGACCATCCGCCTCACAGCCCTTGACTCTCGGAAGTTCCTGGGCTCAGTGTCTCATTGTGTTGTGTATGCAGCGTTCTGCTGCGAGCTGGCGCAATCCCAGGGGCTGCTGTGCACGCTGTCTTTGCATGGCTGGACTCTCCGTCAGCGAACCTGAGGAGCATGGCAACGTCCTTCTTTGCTGAGGTAAGCCAGAAGGTGGGCAAGCGAGGGTTGAGGGCAGTCGTCTCTGGAAAGTGCTGCTTGCGACATTGCGACATGTCTTTCTCCAGCAAGATCCTAGCAGAAGGTGCCCCGGCAGTGCTGGGATGCCCAAAGATGGTTGTTCAGCTGCTGCGAGTGGTTGGGATGGCTGTGTTGGTGCCAATGGTCATGCTGCTCTTTTCCAGCTGATGAAGGACCCGCTGCTTCAGGAGAGGAAGCTGCTTCAGCCTGTCCTCCGAGCCTTGCTGGACAGATGCCTGGACACCAGCTGCACTGTCCGCCAGATGGCAGTGAGAGGCCTGGGAAATCTGGCCAGTGGAGCACCTGAGGAGGTGAGCAGGAGATTGCTCCTCACTAAAGACAGCCCTGACCAGACAGCTCCTGGCAGAGAGCTGCACAAGGCTTAGAGAGACTGGACAGAGCAGCACAGAGGGAAATGCCCGCCTTTCTTGAGACCGTGCTCCATTCTAGGCCATTGCTCTGGCTGCAAAGGTGTATTGTGCGGCCGAGGGGGTAGGGGCTCAGGCTAAGGGGTGCTCTGGAATGGTTCCCAGCAAATTCTGCTCTTGGGAGAAATGGTGGAGAGGAGATGTGAGAGGAATGACTAGTGAGAGGTTCTTGTTTGTCTCCTGCTTTTACAGCTGAGAAAGCATAAGGCGGCCGTTGTGGAGGCGTTACTGAGGGCCACCAGGGACGTCAGCTCTCTGCAGATCGCGGGCGAGAGCTTGTCAGCCCTGGCAAAAGTGGTGGCGGAGCTGCAAGAGAAGGCCCTTGGCGTCACCTTCAGAGACATCGCCCTGTGTGCCAGCGCTTTCTTTGATGCTGTAAGTGAACAGCAGTAGGTACCTCTTGTCCCAGCAGTCTTGGTAGGGTCATCGGAAAGGTATGACAAGGGGGACAAGCGGAGATGAGGAGTGTCTGGCTTCCGGGAAGAAGGGCCGCTCATGGAAAAGGCTGAAGAGGAAGGGAGGAGACTTGGGCTGATGTCTGCTCATCCCCGGTGACACCCAGAGGAAGTCATCTTTTGATTCCCCTTGGAGAGCGGTGAAGGAAGTGTGGCCACAAAGGGAGGGAATCCCTTAGCGGGACTCCTGGGCGGTCCAAGAGCTTGTAGGCTTTTGCCTCTGGGTCAGCTGCCCGTAACGTTGCTGAGCACCTCAGAAACCAACAGCTCAGCTGCCCCGTAGCTCAGGAGGCAAGGCCGTGAGAAGCTGAGCAAGGGACAAGGAAGGGATCGGCGCACGGCAACCCTCTCTTGTTTCCCAAGGGATGTCCTGCAGGTGAATGCTTTCTCCTGATCCGTGGGCCTTGGACAAATTGAGAAGAACCATTGCTCAGGAGGCTGGACTCAGCTGGAAGCATTAGGCTGGTCAAGAGCTGTTTGCTTTGCGGTCCTTTGCAGTTAGCCACCTGACGGCTGGCGTTTCTTGCTTGCAGAAGGAGGCGCTCGCTCGTTCCTCAGCCTTCACCTTATACGGAATCCTGGCCTCCTCTGCCAAGAGGAAATGGCGACCTTTTCTCAGGCAGGAAGTCGAAAGTACTTGGGCCAGAATTCTGCTCCACCTTCGGGACCCAGACCCTGGCGTCCGCAATGTAAGAGCCACCTTTCACTGCTTTCTTCATACGGAGAGGGAGGCATGGCAAGAGCAGAGCGCGTCCGCCCTTCCTTGCCGCCACAGTGCCACAGTGGTCAGGCCTCAGGCCTGCCTCCAAGTCTTTGTTGACCAGGTGCCCTCCTATCTGCTCCTGCCTCGGCAGATCCAGCCCTTCTCCCAAGGGCATGGGAGTTAACAGCTGTCTGCCACAGGCGACAGCGGCCAGGCACTGGTGCTGTCTCCAGGCTGCCAAGTACTAGGCCAGGGGAGCGATGCCTGCTATTGCAATCCTTCCCCTCTCCTAGCTGCAAACTGCACGGAGTGAAACACCGCCCCTTCTTGAAGGAGATGAGCAGTGCTCAGCTCAGTGAGTTCCCTTGAAAGGCACCTGGCTGCGCCCAGGGAGCGCTGAGCTGGGGCAACTCTCATTTTCAGGCCTGTCGAAGCACTTTCCTGCTCTGCACTCCGCTGCTGGGCCTGCAGAAGCTCCAGGCACATGTTGCTCTGAACACGCAGAAGAGGGCAGAAGAGCTGCAGGAAACTGTCTGCAGTCACCTAGTGAGTAAGCTGGGGCCCGGGGGAAGACTGAGCGGTGGCAGCGACTTTCCCTGGCCCAGAGAGCTGGAGCACGGAGTGCCCTTCAGAGAGGTGGTAGAGCCTGGCGACGAGGGGAGCTGTTAGTGCCTTGCAGCCACCTGCTCTTCTCTGTTATCTCCTGGTTCGTCCGCTCTCCTTGCCGAGGGCCAGCGGAAGGGCCTTTTCAGCCAAAGAACTCCCATTTCTCTCTTTTCCTCTAGGCCAGAAACACCCCGGAGCTTCTGGAAAGCCTCTACGACACCCTCCAGACCTACTTCTGGAGCTCGTGCTGGGGCATGCGGACTGCGGCCATCACACTAACTGGTGAGAGACAAAGCTGCAGCTCTCTGCTGCTCCTCCATCTCTTGGAGGGAGGAGCAAAGGGCCTTCTCCACTTTCTCGGCAACGGGGCTGCTCATAGTCGCCTGCCTTAGGAGGGTGGCCGCAGCAGGGATTAGTTAAGGGCTGTACAGTGGCTGAAGTCTCTGTAGGAAAAGCATGGGCGAATGAGTGCTGCAGGTGAGGCTTGGCCCCTGGCACACTCACTTGCTCACCTCTGCTTCATGCCTCTTCCTAGGAACTTAAAAGTAGGAGGGAGCCTGCTGGCTTGATATTTATAACGTTCCCCTGCTCCCCAAAGCCCATCCTCAACGTCTGACACTAGTCAGAAAGTACACTGGGAACGAGGGCTACCACGGGAAGCGTCTTCATGCTTACCTATTTGCGTTGTGTGAGCAGGTGTTATCCTGGAGAATGCAGATGCCCGGTGGCTGAGAGAGCACGACATGAGTCTTCTGAGTGCAAGTAGGTTAAAATTGCCCCTCCTGCCCTCCACTCTCTCCTTGTCTGGGCAAGGGTGTCGCCACCTTCTGCTGCCCTACGCTGGCCCTTCTCTCTCGTGTCCTGCCCCAAACCTCGGCCTGGCTATGACCTTATGCCACGTGACTATGGACTCAGAGCTCTTGCACTCCCCCCCTCCCCCCCTCCGCCACCCCCCACTCCCCACCCCATTTTTTTTTGCTGAACCAAGAATGTCTTTTGGATAAAAGCAACCTTGGGGAAAGTTGCTAGACCTTTGCACACGTTTGGCCAAATGGTTGAGGTAGAAGGCGGCTCCTTCCCGAAGCACCTGGGAGTGTGGAAGACTCAAAATGGAGGGGCCGTTGGTCCCAGGAGAGAGCTTCTGCCACTGAAGTTGGGCAGAAGGCCGAGGGTTTGCAGCAGCTGTGTGCAAAGGCAGCCTTTGTCGTATCCCAGCCTTGCCACGGGGTCGCAGGACTGAGCGCAGGGAAGGCTTTCCAGCTTTCTCAAGGGAGGCTCTGCTCAGAGAGCCAGGGAAGGCATGAGCAGTGCGTCCTGGCCTTTGGCAGTCATGGGTGCCTCTGCCTGTGTTGTTTCAGTTCTCCAGCTGCTGCAGGAAGACCGGCATCCCAGCGTGCAGCAGGCAGCAGCTCAGGTCCTCAGTGACAACTGGCCAGAGCTGAGAAATGCTTAGAGCAACAAGGAGGTCCCCAGCGAGCACCTCGGAGTGCAGAAAGTGAGCAAGGGGAAGGCCAGGCAGGCAAGGAAAGGCAGCCAGGCCACACACACTTGGCTGTTTGGGTCACCGCGGAGCCAGCGCAATCAACTGGCAGAAATAAAGCACTGCTTGTTGGACAGAAGCTTATGCGGTGCTTCTTTGGGGCCAAGGGCCTATGGCAAGCGCCTGGCTGAGGCAGGGCTCTTGTGAGGTGTGTGAACGAGCCGTTCTTCCAGTGTGTTTGAGCTGCGTCTGTATCGGGGAAGGGAGGTCGAGAGGGCTGCGTATCTGACCCTGACCTTGAACACCATGAGGTGGGCAGGTGATTCCCGCGGGTGCTTGTCTCTGGGCTGGCTGCTTTGTGGCAAGAAGGGGATTTATTTTGCAGAGTGTGGAGGAGCAGCCTCTGGCCATTTCTGGGTGCTTGGGCTCTGGCTTTTATGTTGCCGAACCCTCCGCAGGGGCTGGCCCAAGAGGAGCCTGAGGAAGCAGCAGGGGGCAGAGGAGAATCCCTGCTGCTGTGATTACAAAAGAGCTGAGGGGTGTTTGCATACCACAGTGAGTCCTGGGAGTCATCTTCTGGTCTTTCTAAAACCTGTTCCTCCAAGAAGCGCGGGAGCAAG